TATGGACCCTTGTTTTTTTCCAAGAGGGTACATGTCCCACATACTTTCCCATTGGCCCATAAAACCCAACAGAAAAAAAAATTGATCTGTAACTTACAGCACAGACCTTGAACTTGGTTAGTAAAAGGCATCAATAACCCACGAAGAATCAAATGTGGCTAATGATAGAGATGATCAAACAGGGATTGCAAATGAATCCACTTGGAAATTTGTGAATCAACCCTTTAGATGCCGCCATCAGTATGCATGTTCTCTATACTTTTCTCTAAACATTTCATAAGATGCTGACTGGGAGAATTTAATATTTAACAATCAAAAACTTCTTTAGTTCATGTTCATTTCCTTTATTCTTGTCACCTTAAAGTGTGATATATTGCTACATGTCCTCCCTCTTAGGGATCAAAGGATTAATTTTTGACCATGGGCATAAATTCTTTATCCACAGTTCAAATATATGACTTTCATATATTCACATTCATAAATTCTTTAATGACAGTTAAAACTTCTTAAACTTGACAAAAGGAAAACTAAGAGAGATATGTCCACAGAAAATATTGAGCTTTTCCTGGAAATCTTCCTTAACAAAACTATTTTACTAACCAAGCCATTTGACCATATCCAAAATTCCTGTGAAAAACTTCTCCTCTTCATTCTCTGGGTTTGTGTCATCATATCTCAAGTAGCAAACACCGTTGTGGGCCTGAGGAGAATTAATAGGAAATAATAAATACATATCAATAACAATGATAATGGTGATGAGATTCATGATGGTAATGAGGATGGGGACTTTAATGACGATCATGACTATAATGGCAATGACATCTTTTAAAATGTAAAATAGAAATGATAATGATGATAACATAAACATGAGATTTAGTGCCAGGAGTGTTAAATACAACAGATTTCAGCAATAACTGGCAGCATACACTCAACCTCACTATGCCCAGTGGCACAGGTAATGCCTTAACAATGTCCCTCCAAATCACCATGTCTTGAGCTAATCTTGCATCACTCCCCGCGTTATATAATGCACATGGCACCATCTTATTCATGACTTTACATATTTAACCAACAAACCAAAAAGAACAACCTCACATCACAATAGATCAAACTGACCAATCACCACAGACTTATACTACTTTAGTTCTGACAGCAAACACCATCACTGCAAAAACTGACCATCACTTCACCCCATAAACCACACAACTTATACCACTCAACTAAAAAAAACTCTTCATTTGACTCCCATGAAGACTTCCACTAATGTTGTTGAAACATCAGTAAGCACTACCAAAACATTCCTTCTCCACACTACCCTTATCTGAACCATTACACTAGACAATCAGAAAAAGCTATCAGAGCATTCTGAAGTGATACAGTATCATAAACCTTACTCTTGCATAACCAAAGTTGAAGTTGATAGCTTTGGCATGACCAATGTGAAGAATGCCATTGGGTTCAGGAGGAAGTCTTGTAAAACTTGCACCTAGAAAAGTAGAACCCTCAATAAACTCCATGTACTATTTAGCTTGTCAGAAGATGCTCTGCAATGACTGTGTAGGTACTGCATGTAAACTCCGGAAACACAGAAAAAAATGACAGAAAATAATAATTAATTAATGAAAATAAATATGGAAGTCTACAAATTTCACTCTGACAAAGAGCTACTGCTTGAAATGTCAGCTTCAATAACTCTTTACAGTGGCCAATTAACATTAATTAACAACTCAATTGTTAGAACAAATTTTATCTTGTGATGTCCCTGACTGACTCAGCACCACAGTTTCTTTGGATACTCAACCTCTTTTCACAAATTTCAGTAGTTGCAATAGCACAATAATCACAGTAGGACAGAAAAACATTTCTAAGCATATTGTGTTGCAGCAAAATTGGTCTCAAACAGTAAATTACAATAAAAATAATAAAGTGTGAGCTGGGAACAAGTTATTGTAAGAATCTAGCCCAGGACAAAATAAAATGATCTCAGCCAGTTTTCGAACCCAAGTTCTCAGTTAACAGTTCATAACATGTACACATCCCCAAAGTAAGTGCATCGCACAACATTGAAACTGTGAGATCCTGTACAAATCATTTCATTACTTGAACAGTAAAACTATCTGACACTTACTCTTCCTCCAGTTCTTTCTAAATGTTCCTTTAGAAGTGTCATTGTCTTGGGGGTTACAACATAGGCAGGTGTAAGGTAGTTCTCACCTCAGTTTAAAAAAGGTTGAGAGAAAGTCCATTAGCACATGGACATAACTAAAAAAAAGTTACCAAGAGATTAAGGGTATGTTACATGTCCATTATAATAAACATTATTGCACCATGGCCTTAAAATAACTATTCCTAAATGAGCCACAGTACACCAAAATGAGTCAACCCTTTACACCTGAACATGATCAGTATGCGTATTCCCCAAGCTATTCTTATTATTTTCTTAAGGTGCTGATGGGGAGAATTTGTTTAACAATCAAGAGCTGATCATTTCCTTCACTGTCATGACCTTAGTGTGTGACTTGGAGGTGATATTCTCTCTAAGAAGAAATGCCAGTCATTTTAAAAGTTCAAAGGGTAATTAAAAAATAATTTTGGCTAACCACAAAACTATAAAAACTGAAAAATTTTAGTTTGGTGGGATATAATAAGACAGGAAAGGAAAATATGACGATGAATTATTAGATACATGCCAGAGTATCATGGCTGAAAACGGATTAGATTAAAACTGATCACAAACCATGTAATGTGGCCTGTATCCTGATCTACTGTATATTCACCTGGTTTGTGGAACTTGCTTGCCTCTCCAAACAAAGAACTTGTTTCATCATCTCCAGTATCACCATTCAATGAAACCTCTACAGCTGCAGAACGAGACTCTTTTGCTGACTTTCCCTCTTTGCTGGGCTTGGCCTCCTATGATCAATACATGTACAGTCCATAACATTAACCCTTAACACCCTAACATCAGTAAGCATATTCTCCATACTGTTTCCAACACATTTCCTAAACAAGAATTTGTTTAACAATCAGAAGCTTCCCGGTCCAGTTGCTCAAAGTCCATTTAGTGCTAACCCAGGGTAAAATTTTAATCTGAGTTTCTTCATTCACTTTTTTTAAAAGCCTTTTTCAGATAATTCCCTTTATTCTTATTTGGGCATCCAATCATCAAATTGTAGACAAAAGGAATAGTACTGAATTTTCTTTTACAGCTTTCAGATCTGAAAGCAAATTTCACACTAACCCTGGGTTACCTTAACCCATCTTTGAACAACCCAGCACAGATCTTTAGTTGATGATCATTTCATCTTTTCTCATAACCTAAGTTTTTGATTCTGGGATGATACTATGAGGAGAAATTATATGCTGATCACTCTGAGAGGGTAAAAGGATGATACTATGAGGCGAAATTATATGCTGATCACTCTGAGAGGGTAAAAGGATGATACTATGAGGAGAAATTATATGCTGATCACTCTGAGAGGGTAAAAGGATGATACTATGCTAATCAGGAGGGTAAAAATGATACTATGATACTATGGAGGAAATTATCACCTGAGAGGGTAAAAAGGATGATACTATGAGGAGAAATTATATGCTAATCACTCTGAGAGGGTAAAAGGATGATACTATGAGGAGAAATTACATGCTAATCACTCTGAGAGGTAAAAAGGATGATACTATGAGGAGAAATTATATGCTAATCACCTGAGAGGGTAAAAGGATGATACTATGAGGAGAAATTATATGCTAACTGAGATAAAAAGGATGATACTATGAGGAGAAATTATATGCTAATCACTCTGAGAGGGTAAAAAGGATGATACTATGAGGAGAAAATTATAGGCTAAAAGGACTCTGAGGAGAAATTATGCTGACCTGAGAGGGTAAAAGATGATACTATGAGGAGAAATTATATGCTAATCACCTGAGAGGGTAAAAGGAAATACTATGAGGAGAAATTATGCTAATCACCTGAGAGGGTAAAAAGGATGATACTATGAGGAGAAATTATATGCTAATCACTCTGAGAGGGAGAACTCTGAGGAGGGTAAAAGGATGATACTATGAGGAGAAATTACATGCTGATCACTCTGAGAGGGTAAAAGGATGATACTATGAGGAGAAATTATATGCTGATCACTCTGAGAGGGTAAAAGGATGATACTATGAGGAGAAATTATATGCTGATCACTCTGAGAGGGTAAAAGGATGATACTATGAGGAGAAATTATATGCTGATCACTCTGAGAGGGTAAAAGGATGATACTATGAGGAGAAATTATATGCTAATCACTCTGAGAGGGTAAAAGGATGATACTATGAGGAGAAATTACATGGTAATCACTCTGAGAGGGTAAAAGGATGATACTATGAGGAGAAAGTACATGCTAATCACTCTGAGAGGGTAAAAGGACCAAACTTCAAATCATACAATATTGTTTTAAAAATGGTTCATTTACTTACGTAAATTATCCTTTACCCTTAAGATCTCATTAGTAATCCTCCTTACTACCTCCCATACAGTTCTTGTGATTTGTGTTTGGAGAATTTGGTATTGGATCAACTCATAATCCCTTAACTGATATTTTTCTTCATTCTCATCGCTTGTTTGCTTGATATTGTATTGATATTGTAAGGAGAGATTCTGTCTTGGTCACTGATGGGAGTTAAAGGGGTAACCCTTTGACCCCTCAGAGTGACTTATAAACCATCTCCATCAATCACTTATGTCGCTCATTGTCTGGTTCTATGCACTTGGTTATATCAAGGTGGAAACTTTAAAATATGGTGCTATAAATACAAGTCTCTAATTACATCACCTTTGTTTTGAAAGCCTGCATGTCTGCTTCAGTTTTAGGTCCAAGCAAATCTAAGATCTGTAAAAAAAGTCAAAATACAAACAATAAATACCAGCCAACAAAAGAGCCATTGTTAAATATTAATAGTTACACCAGTGTGAAATCAAACCTTCTAAAACATAAGTCCCTAATATTCAAACATCAATATTTTCCTGCTTTTGAACATTTAAACTCACCCATTATTATTCCAACATTGAATTTGTAGCGTTTCTTCAACAATTCTTCCTTGTGTTTCTTGATAAGTTCTACAACCTTGCAGAAAAAAAAGACAAATAACATCAAACCAAAAAGTCCCTGAAATGAGTGTTATCTTAATCCTTAGTATTAGTAATGGTATTATTAACCCTTTACACCCTAACATCAGTAGACATATTCTCCATACTGCTCGTCATACATTTCTCAAGGTGCTGACAAGGAGAATTTGTTTAGTAATCAAGAGTTTCTTCTGTTAATGATCATTTCCCTTATTCTCATGACATTATTGTGTGATTCAGGGGTGATATTGTAAGGAGAAATTAGATGCTAGTCACTCTTAGAGGTTAAAGGGTTAAGTTGTTGTACATGTAAGTGATTCTCCCTTTCAACTGATATACAGTACCTTGCAATTCAAGTAAGTTAAGTGAAACTGATGTGAGCTACTTTAAAAGAGTAAATCAAATCTTTCAATTTTTTACTTACACAGTTTTCAATCTGATCAGGTGTGATGTTTACTCCAATACCACAATTTTTTTCAAAGGCAGCCACATCAACAGGCAAAACTGGATTGGCCTTCATAAAATCCACTGCAGCTAAGATGAAATAAAAGTAACACATGATATGAATATTAATTAACTGATTGAACCCAGGAGTAGAATTTATTTATGTTGTCCAATCAGACAAAGGCAGTCTGGAGAAGTACTAATGTTCATATCAGTTTGTGATTTTTTGACAACCCCAGGGGAAGTCTTCATCTTGTCTCCATTCTGATGATGACCTCCACAATGATTTTTAAAATGTCAGTCACTTCCACCAACAGCAGTCCTTCTCAATTTACCAAGACAATCAGACAGTACCATCAAATTTATCAATCCCCTGAAATACCTTCGAAATAATTAATCACCAACTAAACAATAAGTACTTCTTAATCACCAAGTTCAAGGTCCATACTGTAACTTATGAACAATTTTTTTTGCACAGGTCAAAAAAATTCCATTGGGGAAAATCCCAGCATAAAAAAAAAATGTTCTGTAATAATGATAATGATGATGATAATAATAATAATAATAATAATAGTAATAAATTTAATAGTTATATAGCGCAAAATTAAATAAAGGTATATGATCTAATGCACTTTACAATAAATTTTAAAAATATCAAAAGAAACCCCAGAGAATATGATGGTTAGATTACAAAATGAAAACAAAATTACATTTAACGATAAATTAAAAAAGTGATTAAAAATCTATATTGTAGATAGTCTAAAAATGTTCACACAGTTAACAGTATGCTTGCTTAAAAAGATACGTTTTCAGTTGTTTCTTAAAAATATTTACACTACTTACACTTAATTTACAGTATGAACCAAGAAAACAAGGTTAGTAACTTAAAAAATTTTTTTTTTTCCATCTCTGGGTTAAATTAGAGGGGGTAGATTTTGACCTAAACACACTTTTTGATTTAGCACACCATATAGTAAAAAAAGGCTTAATGAACTGACCAATCATGATGCACATAGTAATTCAGAGATATAATAAAAAACCTAATCAATCACAGCTTTTCCTCCCTCTCTTTCGCTAGATAGCAACATTATACCTGTCAGTTGTATTGCAGATGCCAACTTCTTGTTTGCAATGTAGTTACTAACAAACTTGATCTGTGATTCATCTTTGATATTGCTGCTTGCCAAGGAGTACATCAAAACACCAGTGGGTTTTCCAACTGCATCTGTGGATTTTTCTTTCACCTGTTAAAAACAGAAAAATTGTGATGCTCAATCTAAGCATAGAGAAGCAGTGAACACAAGAAATAGCCATCATCAATTCTACAGTGTAGGACAATTGTACGATAGACACTAAAATCTATTTGCCCCAGCCTGGTGTCATACTGACTGTTTCACAAAGGTACAAGCATGTCTTCACAATTCATTAGATACAAAGAAAAGGGCAAAAAGGAAAAAGGAGATCAACTACAAGGCCAAAAGATTACAGAGTAACCATGGGCTTAAAAAAGTAAAACTCAAAATTGTTCTTGCTTGTCCTTATTTTGGTTGCTTCATTTTGTGTCTTGATTACTTCATCTCCATTAGCACTCTGAGGCAAGTTGTTCAAAGGCCAAATAGCACTAATCCAAAGTTAAATTTTAATCAGGGTTTCTTTATTCCTTTGATTCAATAGCCTTCTTGGGATAATTTTCATGATTTTTTTTTTAGCATCCAAGATAGAAAAGGAAAAAAAAATTATACCAAAATTATAATTTTTTTTTAAACTTTCAGATCTGAAATCAGGTTTCACACTAACCCTGGGTTATCTTCACCCAGCCCTGCTTTACAAATGAACATGCAGGATGCAAGTAGAGAAGGATAAAAAAGAGTGTTCGCATGAACATAAAGCCAGATATTTACACAAGGTCTAGGATAAACCAAGGTTTTACGCAATCAATGGGCCTAAGGCACACTCTATAAGAGGGTTGATTGACTTAAAAATGCCTTCCACTGCAAGCTTTCAGCTCTCTTGACACTGTTTACAAAAATAAATGTTCAAATAAAAGGTTCAGCTAAACTGAGGATTGTTTACAATGCGGTTTTGTTAAACAACAGCTAAACTTTGTTTAAATAATCAGCCCTCAGTGACTGAGTTAGGTCCAGCTGGACAGAGAATATTTAGCTTTGAGTCATGACATACAAACCCTGTACATTCTCGTCCAGTCCTCTCACTCACTCACTCAATTTGTACCCAATATATTACCAACGTACTGTTCAAAACCAATATATGCTTATTTGCATAACAAATCTTCATTCTGGTAGTGAATTTTAATTTCATCACACATAAGCAAGATTTCCAATTATTGCAAGAATCGTAAGAAAGAGGAAAACTTAAGACTTTATGTTACCCACTTATGTTACTATTACATGTTAAGTACCAGTTATTGCATCAGCCTACGAAGAACTGATCGAGCTGATGTAAGATAGAGGGATTGCAATAGCACCTTTAACAAACATTCTCAGCCAATCTAACGAGATCACTAAAAATATACAAACATTTTTTCAAGCATGTGCATCCATGATCAGTTAATACTCCACAAAAATCACAGGCTATTAAAATCTATCGAATGAAAACCCCAAGCTTTAACTCACCAACGTTATGATGGATTCCAGTCGCTTCGAAAGCGCATCATTCTTCAGTGTTTCCTGAGCTTTCTGCTCGCTTAAACCAATACTTTGGAAAAGTCCAGCCTTGTCCATCACCGATCGACTAACAATAACAGGAGAAAAATTCTCCCAAAGCGCGGAAGCAAAAGAACGAAACCTTATTCTACGAGGAAACAGCCACATGCATGGAATAGACTATAACTTTGTAGCCGCGCAAGCTCGTTCAAGAAGACTAGGTCGAGACTGGCTTGGTTTATTGGATCTACATTTATTTTGGCGGTGTCACAGTACGTTTCCTAAGGTGGACTTGCTAAGCTGTTGACAAGAAGAATTTGTGTACCAATCAAGAGCTTCTTTAGTTTTGTGATCATTTCCTTTATTGTTGTGACCTTCATGCGTGATTTAGGGATGATATTTTAAGGAAAAATCAGGTACATAGATAAATACATCAATAGAATGATGAACTTTGCCGCTCCAGAGAAGCCCATTCAGCCTCGCGTCTGGTATCTAGAAGAGCCCTGGGGTTGAAACAAACAATACTGTCGTAGAGATTGAAAATTACATATAATAACTACAAATATATTTCTAAAATTATACGAGTTACAAGTGAAAAATTATTTTAAAAAATAATGGTAATGGTAAATTTTACCCAATAGTCGTTAAAAAAGTTTACCGTAAAAAAAGAGTTCCCTTGTCAGAAATTCAAAGATATTACGCGTAAGCCGTAAAATGGCCAAAATTTTAACCGTTATCCGTAAAAGCCATCAACCCAAGCCATCAACCCAAAGTGCTTTTCACAGGTGTCTATCGAATCGTTTCTCACTTTCATTTGATTAATTAAATATGTTTTTTTTTAATTTGCCGAAGTATAATAGTAACAAAAGAGTTTAAAAAAAAAAGCATAATCAGATTTCTCCTTGGGAAAGAGGAATCGTCTAAAGTGAGTCTCGTATTTTAGCAACCGCTTGAAATGTTCATTTCGCTCCAATTGTTAACTTCGCTTCAATTTTTAAGTTTATTTTGTTTGTTGAAAAATATTAAAGATTGTGTGTTGGATAAGTACGAGTGATTTTGGCCTTAATACATTCCTTTGATAAATCTAGATGTGACTTATGGAGTCATCGTTGAGTATCACTGAAATGACTGGATTTTCAACAACGATAAGGATAATAACAATGATATTGATATTCTCTGATGTGACTAACAACCCTTTGGAGAGAACTTTATCAAGACTGAATTGAGCAGTTCACAACTTCTTTAAAAGAAATTTAGCAGGTGCCTCCAGTTTTTCTCATTTTTGGAAACAAGGCCACACCACAACACCGGGAGCAGCGTTCCCTACTTTTTGCGAAAACTGCGAGGATTCTTTAAGTTCCCTGTTAACCAGTACAGAGAAAATCCAGGAGATGGGGCCTGCAGTTTATCGTCCTGTTCTGAGAAAACTAGAGCGTCTAACCATTAACAGATGTCATTGCAAAGGTTGCTCATTCTCCTCGGTCCTTTAAAGATCCTGAGTGTTGGTCCGGTTAGGGGCCTGAACCATCGGCGTCCCGCATGGCAGTCCGCGGTTCTACAACCTAAACAGGCGGCGGTTTAACGATTATCACATCAGCAAAAAAATTAAAAAGGGAATGTTTATGTTATTGCGCTATACTCCTGATTAATGAAAACCTAAAAGATGTTGTCTGAGGCCCAGTCTCATCTGGCGTATAAATAGTGAAACAGCGTAGCTAAAAAATAGAATCATGGATCACGAAATAAACAATGATACACGATTTTCTGTTTCGAGTTCGATGAGCTCATATTCAGCTTCTTCAATAGCGCCGGTGTTACCAAGTGCACCGTTTCGTTACACACTTGTGGGGCAAATCACATTTTCACAGGAGTTAAGGTGAGGACAGAATAAATTAATAGCGACCTAATGCAGTGAATGAGATAAACGGGTATTGACTAAAGATACCTAAAGATACAAATGAAATAATCTGAACCATGAGACAAACGAATGAAAGAAATATCGATCTTATTCACTCGTCACGAACGCGGGGGGATGGAAGAAAATCATTAACTTTCCTCTCAAGGCCATCGGATTTTACGATCTGAAGTTCACCCACATAGCTTTAGATTTCTCTTTAATGAGCCATGACATACAGTGGATACATAAAGGATCATCCTGCGTACTGCTGAAATCATCGATGTCAAAAGTGTCATGTCTAAACAACACATAGTGAAAGAAAGAAAATTTCAAGCTCCTTCGTGACAAAGGAAAAAAATCATTTCTAACCGACGACCGAAAAAAAGACCCTATCCGTCATATCAAGTTAAACGACAGAGTAAATATCAATGCTGACATGTTGATAAACATACCAGACCTTGAGGTAGCTTATTTATCTTCCCATGAGGGATCTTTGAAGCTGCAGTATTTCTGATTTCAGTATCATGTGTGTCACTTGTCTGTATGAACTATTATACAATTATTTATGGCCTCGCTTACTGCATCCAAACTCAGCAGACAATTCTGGAGCTCAAAGACAAAGAGAGTTAGGCCTCAAATTTCTCTTCCAAATTAACGACAACTGGTTCAGTAACAATTTATTTATAAAATTCCTGTACGATACACTGAAGGTTTCTGTACGCAAAGATGCATGGAGTGCATAGATTTAAAAAAATTCTGGAATAACTTCTTCCTCGGATATTTCTCTAAGAAGAGTACTTATGGTATTCGCTTTAATTCTTTACAAGACGCGTAACGATTTGAATATGCTTTTCTCTAGATAAAGCGAGAAGTCAATTATTTTCTTGGGAAAGAACTTTATTGGAGTTAAATTTATTGCAAGCAGTCTTCAGGTGAGGAAAGATAATGAAGAAATATGTAGCATATTATAATCGAAAGACGGGAAAATTTGAAAAAAAAATCAACATAAAGAATACATATTATCGATGTGATTTCTTTAGCTTTGTATCTCCTCCGGTGATGAATATGTGCAACTTGTTATTACAAAGTACACGTAGATATCAATGCAGAAAAAAAGGGAGTGATCTTTGAGAACAGAGAAAGTTATCAGTAAAAGTAAAGTATCTCGATGTAACACTAAATTTTTTTACATGTAAAAGAAAGACAGTGAATGAAAACAACTGAGACATGGATGCCCATTTAATCTTGTTCGGAAATCGACTACATACTGACAAACCCATCTGGATTTTGTGAATCAGCATCGTTTTCATATTAGAAAGGAACAGATTTTATTATTCCAAAACTGATTGTATCAGGATGAGATCTAGAGCGCCACTGAATTTCACTGGACACTTACGCTTTTGACTGCAAAAATATTTCGTGCAGAATTGGCGGGAATTATTTACAAGAAAAAAGTTTACCGCTATTATTTTTAGAAACTTTATGAAGTTGTCACGGTGAAAGCGGAAAATGAAAATTTGAGAGAACTGTAACGCTAATGGAAAGGTGACCAAAAACAAATGTGTATCATATTGATCGAGGGATATATCGAGTTGATCACTTGAAGAGAAATTGCATTGGTACAATATAATTCACGGTATGAATTTATCCTTGTCGATTCAGTTATGACAGAGTGTAACATGGCCTGCTCTGAGGAGAAAAGGAATTTTGCGGATTGAGAGTGTTTTGCACCAAAACGGAAATAACTAAATTTAAATTACAAGATAAATTAATCGTCATGCAGAAACATGTAAACAAGTAATAATCATAGAGAGAATAAAACAAACAAACAAAAAAACAAGCATAATAACTTTCTTAGAGAAGAATAGCAATTGTGATCACGAAACTGGGTATTAGACGAGGTTAGATCTTTTAAACAACCTTGTTCATTTTTTCATCGAAATTGTTGTAAAGCAAAATATTATTTTTGATATTTTCAGGCATGTAGAATTAACAAATGATATCATTTGGAGAATAGAGAGATTCAGAGGATGACAGTTTAACAGGTACAAACCAATTTTCATTCTGCAACTGATTAGAGCTGTTTAGAGCTCATGTCATTTATAATGAAAGATCGTAATCTTAATAATTGTGCAGTTGAAAACAATTAAGTTTAACCTCAGTCGAATTTTCTCGGGCTATTGTTGTCAGACGTGAAAATATTTCACTTGCATACACTCATAAATTTCATTGGTTTCTCTCATTTGACTCGTGGTTAAATAGACTGCACGCGATGCAATTTCCTAAACCCTCTAACTCCTAGAGGTGATATAACTTGTAACTTATCCCTGTAATATCAATACGTTATCCAGCAAACAGGTAATGCAAATACTCAAAATTTTATCTGGTAGAATTTGTTCTCTTTGAACCAACACCAAATTTCCGTATCTCCTATGAAAGGAAACATGTAGCCGCTAGAGGGGAGAATTAACAATTAGATCACGGGTGTTAAAGATTTAAATGTACGTGATCATTGTGCGTCAGAAGCGCGTGATCAGCATGTGACAGAGCCAGATAACGTGATGTATATAATTATAGCTCTCGTCAAAGTCAAAACCAGCAATTATCTCTCGAAAAAAAACGAAATTTGAAACAAAGCTCGAGGTTGAAAAAAAATACACAATCCCTACGTTTCTTTTGATATCGTAACATTCGCGATATATGGTAATATGGTTGTCGGTGAAATACCACAATTTTTTCAGTTTCCAAAACGTGACATCTCCACCGCACGCTGTAAATGTACCATTTATATCTCCAGATATAAAGGTATCAAGGTCGTCATTAGAACCGAATTTATCAACATGACAGTTTTACTTTCCATGTAGGCTTTTTTTTAAATGTTTTTTGTTGTTGTTTTTACCTGATGCTGAATTCAATTCTTTTTTAAGGAAATAGTTCTTGTAATAAGAAATTGTTGTATTACAATGTCCGAAATTGAATTGGTTTTCCGGCGAGCTGAGTTTTTGTGCAGCGGATCTTTGTATTCGATGTTCTTTTTAGAAAAAAAATTGTATTTGATTCAAGTTTTAAATCAATATCTTTTGAATGAAAAGGATGATACATGTCCCTTTGAGGATACGAATTTATCTGCTTGAATTGAATTATCACTTTGAAGGTGTAAAAGATGTCATAAACACTCGATGGTAAAATTCGTATCCGCGCGCGGTTATCTAATACTTCCTTTATGCGTGCATATTTCTGAACAAGTGTGAGCTTAAGAAGGCTGTACATCGGCCAATTTCCCCCATTGCATTTTAAGGACCGAGACGAAGGCTTCGTCAGCAAAGGATCAAAGGATATATTACATGAGAACAAAATCTTTTCGTGCACCTTGGAATTACCAAATAAATCTGCTGTTTCGTAATGATTTTTGTTTTATTTTCATTTAGAACGAATCTGTGACTTCTATTTTAGACAAAAATACTGGAAAAGCTTTTATTCATGTGACAAAAATATACTTTTTGGTTACAATATTATTATTCAAGGTATTCAACATGCTACAAGCATTTCTTTTTTCCTTCTTTTTTGCACTCTTGAGTAGCCGATCAGAGCGCAGGTTTCCTGCTCGCTCGCGGGTCCTACTTAAACATATAAATACCAGAGAAATTGGGGAAACGTGTCAACAAAAGTGAAATTTCAACACCAGAATCACGATGACTACGACTGCTTGATCACGTATGAAAACGAAACCTCGTCAACGACACGATTAATTATTCTGGTTTTTTTAAACGCTTTGGAACATCAATCCACCTACTCGCGAAACTTGACACGATAATCGTCGACGGTGAATAAATTTTTGTATTCAAATGGTCGAACTACGTATCTACAAGGTGGTTAGTAGTATCATTTCTCACTGATTATCTGTCAGAGTTCAGTTTTAGTAGATATACCTTTTGGCGCGATGACTGACTAAATGGGCACAATGTTTGGGCGTTTACATCATGCGCTGGAAGATAAAACTGTGGGCTCAGTAAATGCTGATATTGGAGCAGAATCCTGTGCTGTAGGGCAAGACCACCTCAGCAGCTTCACGGAAATTTCCCAAATTTCCTATTTACTACTATCCTGCAAAAGATTCTTTTTTTGATCCGGTTTGGAATAAGTTTCGCGAATCCTCGCAGCCTCACACGCGATATAATGAAGGAATGAGAGAGAGTCTTTTATTGCATTATTTTTGATCCATGCTTATCCGTGCCTACCGCGTACATTACTAAGGGACAGCCTTGAACGACGTTTTATCAGATGAGACTACGAAAACAAACAAACAAATAAATGAAAAGATAAACATGACGCAACCCATAGAACTTGAGCGGAGCTGTCACGCAATCACAATAGCGTGACGGAGGAAACTTTGAGATTCTCATTCTTCCTCAATGATTAAGTATACAATGTTTTCTTTAACTTACTTTCATCTGAGTCTCCTCTTTTTTAGTTTTAACAATGTAACGCAGAACAATCGATCCAATTTTGTTTCTAGCTATGGCAGAAAGCAACTTCCCAACAACGGGAGAAGAACTGGAGGTGAAAAATGAGTTTCCAGCCACAGGTGAGGAAAAGCAACAGGGAGAGACTTCGTCATGGTGATTTTGTACTGTTTTTTGATTAAGTATATCTTAATTCTGATGCACAATTTTTTGGATCATTTCGACTCGAAGGTTTTAAGTAATCCAGTAAATACGCCAGTATTAGAATGCTAGTTGTAATTGCACATAGATGTGATCACTAACAAGTTCTCTGTAGTTTCAGCTACAGAGAAAAGTCAAGTTAAGTCAAGTGACGCTGAATTGGATGTATACAATGACCCTTTAAGAGGTAAGAACACCAGGTGAATCAAGATTTTTCGAAAGACTTCCCAGTGAAATTTTTGTCACATTTACATCAAAATTTGCTTATGTTCTGTGGATAAGTTTTTGAAACAGCAAAAGATTGTTTCTTCAAATTTCAAACTTTGTTACCAGTAAAATATAAAACAAAGGAAAAACAATTTATTGCTCGATCCGATCGAGCAGAATGCGTAGACATCATTAATTATTCATAACCGATAACTTTGTACGCGACTTTGCTTTGAAGAGCCCTAAATTAGAAAAGAATGTGACAAAATTGGTGACAAAACTCAGTTTTCTTAGTTTAAAACTCAGTTTTCTGAGTTTTAGAAATGCTAACTTCTTATTCGACGCCCGGTGTTTTTAAGAATAAAGATGTATCTATAATTTGCACCTAAAATGAATGATAATTGCGAAGAAGAACTATCATCCTTTTGCATTTGAAAATACCTAAAATGTGGTCATTTTTAGTGTGACCATGAAAATGGTACTTTCCCAATCAGATTTTCTTCATTGAGCCTCTTCGAGCATGTTCTCAATAAACAACTACATGTATGAGAAAAACCAAGTCACACACAAAAAAGAGAAAACATGCGTAACGCAGGTGTAAAAGGGTTTTTGGAGAGCCTCTCGACCTAAATGTAAACCAAACAGATTTGATCTGGTTATAGCCAAACTACAGCTAAAACTCCTGATAGCTTGCATATTTTAAAGCAAACAAAATGCACAGATAAACTCTCTTGAAGGGCGATTGCAAACAAAGTTAAGTTAAAATAGGATCTCGGTGAAACTTGTGTTTTTTTGGAAAACGTAAGCCACGTATAAAAGGAGGTTTGTGAAAGTCTCTAGACCCAAATGTAAACCAAGAAACTTGAACTGGTAATAGCCAAGCTACAGCCCAGACTTTTCTGATATTCGTTTTTCATAGCTCTAAGCTCCTTTAACCTAACAGTTCGTTTGGAAGTATAAAGTTGGCATCATTGGTTAAGGGTCGTATTACTCATTACTAAATCATTAACACTAAAATGGCGTGCTTTCAGTGATAGCGAAAGAATGTCTGGAGAAAGGTAACAAAGAATACAGACAAGGAGAAGCTAATAATGCGATAATCTCCTACACGGAAGGACTTCAAGTGAACTGCAAAGATAAACGGCTGAACGCCAAGCTTTACAGCAACAGGGCAACAGCTCATTTCCGTTTAGGTAACAATTTCATTTCTAAATATATAAATCTCTCATGCAGCGTTACAAGATAACGGAATACACAAATCTGCCCCAAGAGAAGGAAAAAAATTGAGCAACTATAGAAAAGAAGCATAGAAAGAGATATCACCCTTTAGCAGATCAAGATTAATCAAAGAAATGATCCTCGTAGATGAACAGCAATTTATGCAATTGTAATTTTTTCATGCGTCTTTGCCGCAGCTGCATGTGATGACCACTTTTTTAAACCTCTTTCCTTAAATTTCACAGCAAACTACGTGGAATGTCTCGATGATGCAACAGTTGCTGTTCAATTGGAACCCACTTTAATCCAAGCTATTGAGAAAGGTGAGTTTTTCAGATATAAGCCGTCAACATTCTTTTCTCTGATTTCGTCAAAAGAGGATTGTGTGGTTTGTGGCAGGTAACTGGCCCCAAATGTAACTTGTATCTGGTGTGTCAATGTCTGTTATGTGGGTAAAAAGCATAAGCAAATGTCAATAAGCTCTCAAATACCACCGCCTGGTTAGTTCACGTTGTAGAGCGCCGGAGGTCGAGGGCTAAAGCCCTAGACCAGAACAAAACTCAGTCTAAAAACATCTGAGGAGAATATGCTGCCACCTGGCTGTGACATCTGCAAATTGTTTGATAATCTTCTCCCGGATATGGACGGAAAACCGTAACCCCCCTTTCCTGCATCTTCTCTGTAACTCATAGCAAGGGACGTTAAAAAACCCGGCAAGGAGGTACCTGAAAAATTCCTTTTCAAACGGTAAACTGCTCAATGTAGTCTGCCCGAAAACGTCCTCGAAAAGTGCTGAAAAGCGCATAAGAGCACATTAAAATGAAGAATAGGTGAGATAAATTCATCGTTATCATCATCAATTGGTGGCCGCTTTGCATTAGCTCCTTACTGTTCATTTTCAGTTCTTCTACAAGTTCAAATGTCCTTCATTACGACAATTTTTGTTCCCAGCTAAATGACAAATTAAGTCCAATTTATCAATACGTTCATACCTTAACAGTGATAAATTACCTCGCACCACCAATTATTCTCTGCTTTTCAGGAGCCAGAGCTTGTGTCGAACTTTCCTGGGATAAAGAAGCAAGGAGCTGGTTGCATATGGGATTGACAGTATCCTTTAACGAATGCTTGAAACGTGATACGAGATGCAATGCGAATAATATTTCAAGGAAAATCAATACATACCAGGCAGATTCTTCTACACATAATGCAAACTATGTTCTCTTATACTGCACTGAGCAGTTTAAAGAAGCTAAAATATTATTAAGGAGTTCTTTCTTTTATTCCACGAAACTTAAATTAAAAGAAGAGGTCATATTAACTAATTCCTAGAGTTTCTGCTGAATGCCCCTCATTTTTAACTTCAAACGAGCATCACCATGACGACTGAACCTAAACTAATAAATGCGCTTCAGAGCTGGTTAACACTCTCGAATAACTTGAAATCAAATCTTTTTAAGAAACCCACGTTCGAATTATCATTCCAATTTTAGGGTTTTATACAATAATCTCACTATTTTTAAAACAGAAATTTCCATTGCATTTTCGCAAAACAGCTCGTGATTTATCTACCCTTGACACGTTTTAAGATTGAAAACAATAACGAACGTCTGCTTCAATTACTAAGGAAATCGAATGCCGAACTAAAAGTCAAAGCACACACTTATGCCAGTCTCGGATGTGCTTATTATCGTGTTGGGCAGTTTCACACAGCAATCAAGTATCATCGACAGGATCTAGAAATTGCTGAAGAAGTGGGAGACAAGGCCGGAGAGGGAAGAAGTTATGGCAATCTCGGCAACGCTTATGACAGTCTAGGACAGTTTAAAACAGCCATCCAGTACCATCAACGTCATCTAGAAATTGCTAAAGAAGTGGGAGACAAGGCCGGAGAGGGAATAGGTTATTGCGGTCTCGGCAACGCTTATCAAGGTCTAGGACAGTTTAAAACAGCCATCCAGTACCATCAACGTCATCTAGAAATTGCTAAAGAAGAGGGAGACAAGGCCGGAGAGGGAAGAAGTTATTGCCATCTCGGCAACGCTTATCAAGGTCTAGGACAGTTTAAAACAGCCATCCAGTACCATCAACGTCATCTAGAAATTGCTAAAGAAGTGGGAGACAAGGCCGGAGAGGGAAGAAGTTATGGCAATCTCGGCAACGCTTATCAAGGTCTAGGACAGTTTAAAACAGCCATCCAGTACCATCAACGTCATCTAGAAATTGCTAAAGAAGTGGGAGACAAGGCCGGAGAGGGAAGAAGTTATGGCAATCTCGGCAACGCTTATCGCAGTCTAGGACAGTTTAAAACAGCCATCCAGTACCATCAACGTCATCTAGAAATTGCTAAAGAAGTGGGAGACAAGGCCGGAGAGGGAATTAGTTATGGCAATCTCGGCAACGCTTATCAAGGTCTAGGACAGTTTAAAACAGCCATCCAGTACCATCAACGTCATCTAGAAATTGCTAAAGAAGTGGGAGACAAGGCCGGAGAGGGAATAGGTTATTGCCATCTCGGCAACGCTTATCAAGGTCTAGGACAGTTTAAAACAGCCATCCAGTACCATCAACGTGATCTAGAAATTGCTAAAGAAGTGGGAGACAAGGCCGGAGAGGGAATTAGTTATGGCAATCTCGGCAACACTTATCGCAGTCTAGGACAGTTTAAAACAGCCATCCAGTACCATCAACGTGATCTAGAAATTGCTAAAGAAGTGGGAGACAAGGCCGGAGAGGGAATTAGTTATGGCAATCTCGGCAACGCTTATCAAGGTCTAGGACAGTTTAAAACAGCCATCCAGTACCATCAACGTCATCTAGAAATTGCTAAAGAAGTGGGAGACAAGGCCGGAGAGGGAATAGGTTATTGCCATCTCGGCAACGCTTATGACAGTCTAGGACAGTTTAAAACAGCCATCCAGTACCATCAACGTCATCTAGAAATTGCTAAAGAAGTTGGAGACAAGGCCGGAGAGGGAAGAAGTTATGGCAATCTCGGCAACGCTTATCACAGTCTAGGACAGTTTAAAACAGCCATCCAGTACCATCAACGTGATCTAGAAATTGCTAAAGAAGTGGGAGACAAGGCCGGAGAGGGAAGAAGTTATGGCAATCTCGGCAACGCTTATCGCAGTCTAGGACAGTTTAAAACAGCCATCCAGTACCATCAACGTCATCTAGAAATTGCTAAAGAAGTGGGAGACAAGGCCGGAGAGGGAAGAAGTTATGGCAATCTCGGCAACGCTTATCGCAGTCTAGGACAGTTTAAAACAGCCATCCAGTACCATCAACGTGATCTAGAAATTGCTAAAGAAGTGGGAGACAAGGCCGGAGAGGGAAGAAGTTATGGCAATCTCGGCAACGCTTATCACAGTCTAGGACAGTTTAAAACAGCCATCCAGTACCATAAACGTGATCTAGAAATTGCTAAAGAAGTGGGAGACAAGGCCGGAGAGGGAAGAAGTTATGGCAATCTCAGCACTGTTTATTGCAGTCTAAGGCAGTTCAAAACAGCAATCGAGTACCATCAACGTTATCTAGAAATTGCTACAGAAGCGGGAAACAAGGCCGGAGAGGGAAGACGTTATTGCCTTCTTGGCAGGATTCATCTCCATCAAAGAGAGTTGACAAAGGCAATCGAGTGTTATCAACGTCACCTTGAAATATCCAAAGAGGCTGGAGATAAGACTGGAATGGCGTGCTCACTCTGTTCTCTTGGAAGCAGTTTTGAGTGCCAAGGAAATCTTATGATGGCCTTTGACTGTTATCACTCGAGTGTACAGTTGTATGATGACATCAGGGCCAGTCTTCAACTCCACGATCAGTGGAAGATTTCTTATCGCAATCAGCACCAAAGTGCATACAAAGGTTTGTGGCGTATAAATCTCAATCAAGGTCAAGTTGTAAAGGCTCTTCTTGCCGCAGAGAAAGGACGTGCTCAAGCTCTGAGAGATCTCATGGCCACAAAATATCAGCCTGGAGATTCTTCAACGCACGGCGCATCTCTGAGCTGGGTTCCATTGAGCACAGTTTTCATAGCTATTAATGGACCATGCGTTTACCTCTGGGTTTGCCTCAGTGAAGATAACATCCAGATGAGACAGGTACACGTCAACAATTATAAGTATGAGGAAGAGTTGGAATGTTTCACCAAGCTACTGAACAAAACTGCTCTGAAGGAGATCGGTGCAAGAGATACTGTTCCAATCGAAAATCCTCCGCTTGATTCGCCGACAGAAGAGAAAGTGGCCAATCAAGTGATCCCAGTTGATGTGAGGCACTCCCAATCAAGTGCTTTAAAGAAGCTGCATGACATCATCGTTGCTCCTATCGCTGACCTGATCGAAGGCAACGACGAGATCACATTTGTTCCTGAGGGGCCATTTTGCCTTGTGCCTTATGCAGCGCTGCAGGACTCTGACTCATCATATCTAAGTGATTCTTTCAGAATTCGTGTCCTTCCCTCTCTGACGACGTTGAAACTAATTCATGATTGTCCAGCTGACTTTCACATGAAGACTGGTGCATTGCTTGTCGGCGATCCATGTTTTAAACATATCATCTATGAAGGAGGACTTTTGGTGCAACTTCCAGGAGCAAGGAAAGAAGTGGAGATGATCGGACGTATCCTCCATGTTTCCCCCCTCACTGGACAAATGGCAACAAAAGATGAAGTGTTAAAACGAATATCATCAGTGGCGTTAATTCACATTGCAGCGCACGGTAAACTGGAAACTGGAGAAGTTATCCTGGCACCAAACACCACAAGAGAAAACCCTCAGCCGCAAGAGAAAGACTATCTACTGACGATGAAAGACGTCATAGAAGCTGGGCTAAGAGCACGTCTGGTTGTACTCAGCTGCTGTCACACTGCTCGTGGGGAGGTCATGGCAGAGGGTGTGGTCGGCATGGCGCGTGCACTTTTGGGTGCCGGTGCTAGATCTGTTGTGGCAACCTTGTGGGCGATTGACGACGAGGGAACCCTGGAGTTCATGAGTTTCTTCTACGATGCACTTGCCAAAGGCAAGAGGGCAAGTGAAGCTCTCAATCAGGCCATGAAGTGTATGAGAGAAATTGAAAAGTTCAAGAAGGAGATTTACTGGGCACCATTTGTACTCATTGGTGACGACGTCAACCTGGATTTCAAGGATATTTAGAGGCTGCAGTAAGTAAATACTCTGTTTATACATTCTATTCAGTAAAAAGGTATTACTTACGTGTGCGCCCTGATACTTGCGTATTATTTTCCTTTCAGTTGGGTTACGAATTTATTTTTTGCTCCGGCAAATTGAGATGCAGTACAACCAAGTGGACACGTTTACGATAATAACATTCTTTTTTGGAAACATGACAGGAGTAAAACAGCAAATTTGTTTTAAAACACTGATCCTGTTGTGTAATGTATCGTTTCAAGTGCTGTGAAATATTTCATGGAAACTCAACTATCCTCCCTAAACTTAGATTCTTTTATTTTTTAGTTAAGGCAGTGAGCATTGGAATCCCAGGGAGTTTTAAGGTACCTGTAAACGTTGATGTTTGGACCAGAAACCAGTAAGCTACCGATGAAATCTTTTTCAAGAGTCTTCTTTTCAAAGTAGGAAGAACCAAAAGAAGGCCAAAGTCAAGTTTAACAAGAGGACGGATTTCCTTTGATTCAAAAGTTGACTTTTTGCTTGTCTGAACTGCTCTTACGAGCTTCATCTTTGATATCCTGCTGAAACAACTGTTTTGTTTTCATATGATGCCTTGAAATTATCATGGCTTGCTATGTAAAAAGTTATTTTTAATCTAAGTATTACCTACTAAGAGGATTAAGGCGTTACGTTTACGTCGAAGTTGAAACGTCTTGAAATCGTTTTTCACAGTTTTTTTCGCAGATTTTTCTCAATAGGTTTTTTTCTCATGAGTGATGTAAAGCTGTTACTGTGGAGAATTTCCATGGAAATTGGACAGTAATCAGTTTTCCGATTGCTAGATTATCTAGTTTGTCAGATGGAAATTGTGATTAACTTTTAGAGGATTTGTACCCAGTCATTGGTACTTAAAGTTAGTTTCAGCCGACCATAATTAAGTTTATCTGGACTTAATATGACAGATTTTGGCCGTGATGGCAAGGATTTAGTCTTGGTATGAATTAATTTTCTGAGATTTCTCCTTTAATTTTGAATGCGATAAATTGTGTTATTTTTTACAAGCAGAACGATTCATCATGTTTAAGTATATTGTTTAAACTAATCGTCTAAAGGCAAAACGAGAAGTTTTATTTTAATCTTAGTCACTGGCCCACAAAGCATTAGAAGAAGCTCAGAACGAGCTGGAAGTTGGAGTTAGATGATTTTATTTAGTCACTCCATTTAGATTGTTTACATATTATCTAAGTACAATAAACTAACATTTGAATGTCAAACAATGAAACAAGTCGCTTGGCATTTTGTCAGAATGGAAGAGGAAATCAATAACAAAGGGAAGGACATTTCTGCATCAACCTGCATAAGCCATTTCTTGTCGTTTGAAGTAGAATTCGCTTAATAACTTTTGTCCATTTCTTTGAATAGGTTAATTGAATCAGAGATAAACTTCGATATTTTCTGACTCTATAACTGCTAATGACGATCATTGGGAGCCGTTTCTGGGGATGTCACGCTACGCACTCCTTTAGTTCGTTGCGCGACAGAGAATGTTTTGTGACATCTTGTCGTTTGAAGTAGTGTCCGCACCTATGTCTAATTCGCTCAACTTTTCCCATTTCCTTGGATAGAGTTATTAAATGAGATATAAACCTCCATATTTTCAGATTTTATATCCTCTAGTTTCATTGGTAGCCGTCACGCAACGCGCTCCTCTTGCATGTAATGCGACAGTTATGATGTTTTGTCATATATCGTTGGAGGCCAGGAAAAAGAAATTACCTTCCACTTTGGGAGATGGTGCTTTATTCTCTTTATCGAAAGCGTCCTCATCATGAGATAATATTGATGAATTTTTTTTCCACGATTGCAAACTTAACTAAAACAGCCTGTTTCAAAAAACCGGAACTTTCTTGAAACTGTGGAGGGCCGACCGAGGGGATTTTTTAACGGCTAAATTGTGGTCATTTTTCTGCTCCGGTTAACCCAGAATAACACAAAGTAACACACTGAGGGAAGGAAAGATTTTTAAAGGTTTTTTTTTTCTATAATTAAACGGTTAAAATTTGTCAATTTTTTACGTCTAACAGCTAGTTTTTTGACCGATCTACTGCTAACGGTTAACCCCATTGAGACCCTCGACTGGGTGACATGCAAGATGTGAAATAAAAACAGTTTTATAAGGTGGCATTCGCAATTTGAATTTAGAGTGCTGGTTTTTTGAGGAGTAAGGATCAAACTAGGAGAGACGGGCATGGGAAGAGCGTTGTCACAGACCCACTGAGCATTCCTGTTATGTTCAATCTAAAATGCTTAATTAAGTTAACGCAAAAAAAATATATCATGCGAGATATTCGCCGACGTCAAGACGAGCAACGATAAATCTCCTTCCCTCTTTTAAGAACGTGAATCGGATCCGAAAAGTCAGTAAGCCTTGATATTTTGACTTCGCCCCAGATCTAAAAAACTGCGACAACGTAAATGTTTTAGGGGGGCGTCTCTACTGACGTTAGCATATATTACAGTCATTTTCAAGAAAGAGCCATGGGAAGGGGGGAGGGGTGGGTCGAGGCTCCGTTTATCCTCCCGGTCGGGAGTGTAAATGGCTTCGTGGTTTCATGTGTAGCATCACAGGGCGGATTCTCAAGAATCTTAGAGCTACGATTTCAGAAGGTAAAGATATGAATATCCCTGCGTAATTGCTGGACTTAGGCTCCTTTCGTCTGCTTGGACTTTCTCTTCGTGCTCCATAACTCTACTCCATCTACCCACCTTACGGCGGTTTTTAGTATATACCATACAGGTGAATAGAGCTCTTCACGTGGGCTGATTGGCTAATTTGGAATTAATAGTCGAACATGCATTAAGCGGTCGGTTGTAAAATTCCCGATTTTTTTCCTCTTAAACATTCTCACTTTCAACGCTTTTCAGCGGTGGTCTCTATTTAGCGGTTGTGGTCATTCTTGACTGAGTCCCATCGGCCCGTTCGGGTTGTATGGAACGGTCACTTAGGGCTGAACCACTCGACTAAAACGACGAATTCTCTCTGAAGTAAAATTTAGTCCATGTTTGTCTCCCAAAATCAATGTTAGTATATAGATTTCAAATGTTCTCAACTCATCGTAGATTATCTTTCTTCTCAGGATTGTTTGTTTCTGACAAATATTACACAAGAAAACTACGCAAGTGATTTGGTGGTTTATTACACCCATTTTGAAATCACTGGTGGTCTCTGTAATCTGATTGGCTCTAATTGATGCGATTTATTCACGAATCGCACCATTGCAACTTTTGTTTCCAAAACTCTTACTTTTTCCCCCAAAAGATGGATGAATTTTCAGACCGGCTCAGTCAGGTACTGCATCAACAAAATATTTGAACTGACCAAGTCCTTCATTTGAGAATTTCACAATGGATGTAATAAAGTGGTAATTGAACCTCGTGTCATGCAATTTTGGTCTGAAATCATACTTGCACGCTCGTTCGATTTTGAAATCACGTGAATGATTTCAGCCCAAATTGCACTCCACTCAGTTCAATTACCATTATTAATTACCAAGAGGTCCAACTGTTAGAATTCTAATTTATTGTTATGTTTTTACGCTGCATCATCATTTTGTTGATTTTATTCGATACATTTTTGAACTGAAAATAAGCTACACATTCAAATAAATGAGAAATTATGGTATAAAATGTTGTTTTCTTGTCTTTTTTTTGTTAACCTGTATTTAACGGTGATAACACTCAGTGATAACACTCAATCACGCGTTAAACGCGGTTGCTCGATTTAACTGTCCTGGTAAATTTATGAAAGAATGAAATGGATAGTTATAAGACAAAAAGAAGAGTTCCCTGATGTCATTACCCTCTAAAGCGTACACCGGTATTTTCGCAAGTTCCTGCCGAACACCCTAAAAGAAAAAAAAATCGGTCATCACTGTTTCCGTTAGGCTATTGACCGATTATTTTCACAATCGTTATACTTGTTTTGCCCCAGATGATAGATTTTTTTTCCCTCGGGGTACTGTTCTCTAAATAATGTAGTAATAATCACATTCTTTGTACTGCTTCTTCCAGGTGCCAAAGATTTGGGATGCCAGTGATTTCTACCACGGTGCCAGCCGGGTCTCGGCTGGGATCCCCGCCCGGATTAAAACGAAAATGACCATCGGTTTTTTTTTTTTAATCTTGTGACAAACAAAACACATTTGTCTAGTTTTAGCCGGACGCGAATGAATTACTTTAAGAACTGTCAGTAGTTTTTAGAACCGAATTCTAGCAATAATAAAATAATTACTGTCTAGGCTAAACAAGTTTACGCAGCCGGAGCGCGGGCAGCATCACTTTTCTGTTTGTTCCCCTTCAAGGACGCGGCACGCAACATAGGTGTGATTTTTTTGTTGCATTAATAGAATAAAAAGTCTTCTTCGTGAGTAAAACTCTCTCCAGAGTTTGCTTTAGTTAATTTGAAACCGAATTCGAGATACAATGTTCATATTTTTTCTTAAGTTTACGTACGGAGAGCGCGCGCAATGCGCGAGTAACGCGCGAGTAACACTTAAAATCTCTGGAAGGATCATAAAGAGTGATTACACAATAGGACTAATCAGTGGCTATTACAAAGCGGCATGCGAAAGAAACAAAACAAATTGTGAGAGGGAATTATTCACCTGCCATGGTTTCATGCTAATCTGGTTTACAGATTTAATGAAGGAACCGAAGAAGTTACAATTCATAGACCCAACGTTTCGACACTCCTGTCTAGTGCCTTCATCAGGGGTGATCTAAACGCTGCAACAAGAGGTTTTTTTATACGATCACTAATTTTTATCACGATCACTAAAGCTGCCTTTTTTCTGACGAGGTGTAAATAGGCGTCAGGAAGTTAGCCGTCATCATCACGATTTAAGGGAGCGTGGGCGGAGTTAACATGCCAAGCTTCCAAGCAAAGGCGTTGGTGGTAACGCCGATTAGTGGTGATAATTTAAGACTTATCCCGCCCAATTGCATGGTTACACGTGCGCTCCAATAAAGCTAAATTTTCTTTTTTGGAAAAGAAAACAGCTTTTTTGATGCTATTTCAAACGTGTACCAAACTGACGTTTGGTCTGTCCGACGTATTCGTTGTCACAGTCGTTGCAAGGATTAGAATAAATGGCAAAAATATGCCCCAAAGTCTGGTTTTTTGAGGCAATTTCAACGTTGTGACTATTCAAAATTCTCTTGATGGGTTCCGTAACACCCTGAATATAGGGAATAACAGCAAAACCAGTCGCTGGTTCCCTTTCAGCAGGAGTGCTACCAGTTGTAACTGGTTTTTGGCAGTTACGGAGAAAAGTTTTTGTAAAGCCATTGGCCTTTAAGACACTAGAGACATATTTCCTCTCCTCAGCCTTCCAATTGAGTGAAGATGGTAGACAGTCAGCCCTCCTGAGTAAAGTTTTGGCTACAGACTTTTTATGGCAAATAGGGTGGTGAGAATCGAAAGCGAGGTATTTGTCGGTGTGGGTGAGTTTACGATAGACTTTTGTCTCTAAATTCTCACGAACCCCTCTCGACACATTTAAATCAAGAAAGGGCAAATGTATATCCTTTTCACGCTCAAGGGTAAATTGGATAGACGGCTCTACTGAATTAAAATGCGCTCCACTTCAGTTCCGGATACCGCAGAAATAACACCATTCACCTTTTTACGCACACGAAGAATTTTAGTACGTGCGTCATTTGAATGCTTCCTTTCTTTGGTAGATAAATAACCTGAGAGCTGCGGATTCTTAATTCAATAGTCCGTCGAGCGAAAAGGTAAAAAACTGATGGTGGTCGGCAAGTAGCCACCTCCAGCCCTTCGCACAGTTCCGCTCTCCAGTGTTCTTGTCGCACGAATGACTGCTCGTACCTAATGGTTTCTTATTTTCGCGGGACTTTCAAAAATTAAAATTTTTGCTATTTTCAAAAAATTCGCGTACTTTCAACGTTTTTGATATATTTTTAACCTCTCTCTGCGCACTTTTTTTTAGTCAAATTGCAAATTCTTTTATCAGACAGTCTGTTATCATACTCGTGATAAACAAATGGGACTTCCGCTTCGCGGTCGTCCGATTTTGTTATCACTCGTATGATTACAGACCGAACTGGACTTTACTCAATCCTATTACCATTACTTATCAAGCACACAAATCATTGTCTGACTTGCGTAGTGCGCGCAAGATTTGAACTGCTCTCATACTACGAAAGATAAATCTGAAAGCGGCGAAGTCGTGATTCGATAGTCCATCTTCACGATGTTGGAGTTCGCTAACTGTACCAAGCCGTCAGACAAGGGAGACTGAAATTGAAACACACTCAGTTTTCTTTGATTGATTCGAAAATGGCATATATAGTTCAGCAAACAAGACTTTGCAGGAGTAATTACAATGCTGTCGATATTTCCTTGAAAGCGCATCAAAGCGTGCAAGCCCGCTCTGAGCTCTTCTTGTCTGGTTAATTGCGGTATGTCAAGCCTTCGCGCAAAGTCTTTCGAAGTAGCCTGCAAGACAAGAATTCATTTTCTTTGTTCCTAGTATATTTTTTTAGTCCATGTCTGAATCAAGACTTGTATCGAAATATGAATAATTCGTACGTGTGAAAGAAATCGTTCCGATATTTGCCTTCGCCGAAACACCTGTGTGGTAAATGCTCGCAACTGTCTGCCAACTACGTATTCTCTCTTGCCGCTGGTTCTGTGTTCCTCAATCCCTAACTCACACCTCCCTTCCCAAATCTTTCGCCTGATCACGGACCTCATTGATTGACAACATTTTTTTGTCTCGTGCAACAACGTTTTACTTTTTTTTACTTCATAACTTTTTTAAATGCTCTGTTGTAACAGAGAATAATAATAATAACACTAATTATAATGATAACAATAATAATAATAATGATTATAATTATAATAGTAAAGATAATAATGATGATGATAATAATGACAATAATAATAATGATAATAACAATAATAATAATGATAATAACAAAAATAATAATGGTAATAATAATGATAATAATAATAAAAATAATCATGATAATAATAATCATAATCATGATAATAATAATAATGATTAAAAACTCGCTTAAAACACCTAGGCAAACCGCAATATTTATTATTTTTTCTCTTTTCTTTTTTTCTTCCTAGGTATATACTTGGCTTTTGGCCAAACGTAAACTGCTTCCTATTTTTTTTGTATATATTACTTTCTAATACTTGATATATTATCTTTAAAAAAAACCATCAAAGTCAAATGTACCAAAGAAAATTAATTAATATATAGAATCCATTGTCGTTTACAGAGAAATAGATTTACAAAAAAAATAATCTTCAGTTGCATTAATGCTATCATTTGCCTCTCCATGCTTTCCAGATAACATAATTCCCATTTCCGAAGCCAGCAATAGAAATCCACATTTTTTTTTTGTTTTTTCGATAAGTACTTAGTGCGCGTCCTTGCTCACTCCTCTACCACAATCTACGTGCTTAATAAAACTTAGCCCAGAATTTAGAGTAGTTTCCATTAGAGGAGTAACATTTTGACTAAAACAAACAAACAAACAAACAAAAACTGAAACAACAAAAACAAAACAACAAAAAAGCAACAACAACAACAACACCCAGATACAGACTGCATCATACTGTAGTAACTAATGAGGGAACCCCCCCTACATTTTGTGATCTTCATCCCAAACCATAGCAGATCTCCGGCAAAGAGAACCACATCGAGCTAACAGTATTCTTCCTGCTGAGTTAGTCTCAAAGTTTTACATTGGAACGTCAAATTAAAGTTGACGCTTCCAAGAGTCACAACAGACGCCGTGAAATGGCGGCCTTGGCGGCGGAACTTGACAAGAGATGGGTTGCGAAGGAGAGTCACGGCCAGGAACCAGCGGTTGACAGCCTTCTGAGACATGCGCGCCTAACGGGGCTCCCAACTTAAAGCTGAAAGACAAAGAGAGAAGAACGGCGATATAAGCTGCGTTTGAGATGTTTGGACGAGATCTGGAGGGACTTCGTCAAGTATTTCAAGTTAATTACCCTTCAAAAAGTTAGTTCATGACAACAAAGGAATCATAGCAATAGATAAAATAGACCAAAAGAAATTATTTTTTACTTTCTTTGAACATTAAGAACATACCTACGGCGTCAATGAATGACAGTCAGAGATATGGTCCAACTGATCAATATCGTTATTTCCTCAACTGCAGAGGGCTTTGTTTTCCTCGTTCCGGATATATGCAAACTGAAGACGAAAGAAGTGATACAATATTAAAACAAGAGGGCTACCAAAAGGTTTTATAATACTAAAATATCTAAACGATGCAAGACAAGAGGAAAGCAACTAAGTACGATTTGAAAAGAGTTAGTAAATATATCGTTGCTGATTGTTGCACCTTGCACATTGGCAATTTTCACTCTTCCATTTTTCAATTTCCTCTTTTGCATCTGGTTTTGATCCAAATAGGGTCAACTTCGACCATAAAGTCCTCTATGTATTACATTCCAACAGTCCTTCAGAACAGCTTGGGTTGGATTCGATTATGAATGTAGCTTTCCAACTTTCGTTACGTTGAAGCCCATCTCGCCAGCGAGATCACGAATGGCGCAATGGATCACGCTTAACTATCAGCTGTCTCCACACTCTGAATGATAAACTGCCGATGACGTTGTTGGCTTTGCAAAACTGTGAACCTAGTTTTGAAATCAGATAAAGAACTTAAAGATAAACCTTTATAGAAGGAGCAATGAATTCTTTGTGATATCAATTACTGAGCTTCCAGATATGGTATAGTAACGTTGACCTTGCCATTCAGTTAATTGTTATTGAATAGTGAGGGAGAAACACAGCGGGCTCATATAATACTGGTTACGAAGACCTTCTGGATCAACTATCAAGATACCGACATTCAGGAAAATGAAAATAACAAACTAACTCATTTCCAGCGAAAATTTGACTTTGGTGCAAATGATTATCACTAGATAAGCAACTGGTTATCTCAGAGATCATGAGCAAACCTGTCTCGTCTGTTGTTTCTCCACGTGCTTGTCCAGAAATTTTCAAATCTTTTACGTTGACCTGACTCTCTTCAACTGGATAAATAGTCTCCAAAACTAGATGTACCAATAAAAGAGAGACAAACTTAACCATTTCTCTAGTTATGATAAAATAAGGAGTCAGACTACCGATGCTTCCTTTAGTTTTACGTGACTAGATCACAAGAACTCTAATAATAAGTCAAGGCAACACGTTTGGTCCGTACCAGTCATAAAGAAGAATACATGGTCGATACCTATGTGCTTGGGAACTCGGCACCTAAAATATGAACCAGGCCGAAAAACAAGGTTGGCGTAAATCGCAAATTATGGACGACTTGTTCACTTGGCTATGTGCCAGTCGTAAAGGAATAAACTTGGTTTATTCTTCCATCTTGGAGTTATTTGAGTAACTGAATGCTGCAGACTGCCATGAGTGGGGTGATGGTGGAACCCTAAACGATTGATAGAAATCTTTTTCAATTACCACTCTCGGTAAGGAACATAAATGCTTATCTTTGATACTAGCTGAAAGTTTTAATAACTCTCACTTTATTTAGTATTACATTCAGATTAAGAGCATCTTTAATTTGTTGATTATGGTAAGAAAGACAAGAGTTGGTAATGAACATCTACAGCATATGAATAGAGTACGAATGAAGAACTTGATCAGCTAGAGCCAGGGCTCATTGAGGGAGACAAGTTAGAGGAACTGGTCTTCGCGAAAAGTTGCTCGGTCCGCATCACCTCCAAAACAGGATCAAAGCCATCACGACAATTTGCATCTTTCGACTTTGGTCACATTTTGTATGATTACCTGCTTTTACAACACAATCTCGTCGCTGAAATCAGTTGCATGAACCCAAATCAGACTAGTTGTAATTCACGCGACTGATGGGAATGGTAAACTTGTGTCTCAAAGACAGGGAATGACACAAATTTTATCATGAAGTGTCAGGACTTGTTTTGAAGTTGTACACAAACGGAGCAGCCTGACGCACAGACCAGTCGTTTAGTCAATTGACTACTTGGGGTTGGCAAGCAGTGAGGGAGGAACATAGTCGGCCCCTAAGCCATGGATGACTATGACCATGTCAATTGACTACCTCGGTGGTAACAGGAAGCCACAAAAGAAGCATGGTTGGCCTATTAGCCAAAAAGAAAGGACATTATTGAGTGGGTGGGTTTTGGAAGCCGTAAACGTGGAGACGCAGGGTGGATAACCAGTCATTCTGTCACAGTGAGGGAAGAACGTAGTCGGCCTCTGAGTCATATGTAATTTAACCGAGCGGGTTGCAAGTGATTTTCTGATACTTTCAAAACATACTTGCGATCCTGCCGATCACAGGGCGAAAGGGAAATAGAAATTCGAATTCTAATAGGGGATACTTCAATACCTCCACAGGTTACCCTATATTTCGCAATCTCATACTCTTTAAATCAGCTTCTTAAAACAGATCACCATCGTATCTAACACTATCGTTTGTCGAAAAAGTCGAAGTCAACCACGATGAAAATCTCGCAGTGCAAATCTAAACTTCTGTTATCATCATCATGATGATAAAATAAGAAAAGCAAGGGCTTTTAAAATACCACTTCTACCTATGCTTTCCTCACAGAAGACCGTGAATTCAGCAGATGCCTTAATCAAATATATTCTCAGGCGAACAAATCTATTTGGTTTTGCTGTATCGTAAAGTACGTTCGAAGCATTTTTTTTCTTTCCTTTTTCTTTTGAGGGGGTGGGGGAGAGGGGAGGGTAGGTTATGTTCGGGAAAAGGAAAACACAAGACATTTTATGTAGAAAGTCAATATCCTCCTCGTCTTTTCGGCAAAAGATTCAACTTGATAAAAATCATCCCATCAAGTGAAAACCTTTTCATTCATATTTGGCCTTTTGTAGACATTAGTGTAACCAGCTTCACTAGAAGGCCTTCTTCGAACAGTAAGAACATATCCACGGCGTCAATGAATAACAGTGAGAGTTACAGTCGAACTCATGAAGATCGATACTTCCTCAATTGCAGAGATTTTTGTTTTTGATATCCCTGTTCCATGAAGAAACTGAAGACGAAAGAAGTGAAACTATATTTTGAAAAAAGGGGCAAAGATGAGGTTTTGTCATACAGAAATATGTTACATAATGCGAGGCAAGAGTAATGAAACTAAGTACAATATACTAGAAAGAGTTTAGTAAACAAATCGATCCAGTTAATTGTGGCACCTTGCACATTGGCAATTTGCCCTTATCTACCTTTCAACGTCTCGTTTTGCATCGTCTCTTCCAATTTCTTCTAGTTTAACCATTAGGTCATCTATGGTTACATTCATGCAGCCTTTCAGAACTGCTTGAGTTGGACTGGACATTGCCTGAAACTTGAAAATTCTCTCCACATCAAAGCCCATCTTGTCGGCGAGGTCACGAAAATCACCTTTCAACGGACGCAATGGATCTAGCTTAATCATCAGCTCTCTCCACACGCTGAATGGTAACATGGCGATGACGTTTTTGGCTTTGCAAAGCTGTGAAGCTAGTTTGTAGATCAGATAAAGAAAACACATCTTTACAGAATAAGCAATGATTTCTTTGAGATATAAATCATAAACTCTTTTACTCTACGGCGAAGCTGCCAGTGACGATAAAATGACATTTAAGTAGATAGCTGCCTATCCGGAAATGACAAGTGGGAGAGAATTGCGGAGGATATCCAGGGCGTAAAATTGCGCCTAACACAGGCGCCTATGCGACTAAATTTTTCACTTTGGCGACCAAATCCTGAAAAGTAGTGGCCAAATTGGCGACCAGAATGCTTCATCATAACCATAGCTAGAGATATAGTGAATGTAAAAGATTTGCAAAGATAAATCCGCGGCAAACTTCCTCGTTAAGTTTGTTTCCAAAACGCAGCACGTGCGTCTCGATCGAAACTAGACGCCATCTTGGATTTAGGTGAACTTAAGGTTGTATATCACCCATCTTAGTGTCCACTTTGTAGAACTTTGTAGAACTTAATTTTGGAGGGTCTATCTAGAACTCTCATAGCGTGAAAAAGGGTTTTTTTGTCTCTAAAATGGCGACCAACGTTTTTTGAATTGGCTACCACTTTGAAAAATTTAGAAGCCAAGTGGCTGTCAGAAAAAAAAAATTCACGCCCTGATATCCTGACCTAAGGAATTTTTTAAAGCTATTCATGAGTGAAGGTCGAAGATAGTTCACCCCAACTATATCTGTGATCAAGACCCTCTGGATTAATTCCGCTGATATCGACATGTAGAGAAGGAGAGTTTATCAACCAATACAGAAATTTGGATGAAAAGACAATTAATAGAGGCAATCGCATCGGGCCAAGTAGAATTAGGGATTAATATCATGTATGCTTAAATTGCCCAAGTCACGCAAGGACGATCGCGACGGCCCAATAGACCTTATTTGCGCTCAGGTCACGTGGTCTGTATTTGGTGAACAATCTCAACAATATATGTGTTGTTGGTAAATTTTGAAGTCAACATGGCTGGATATTGGCCGATCTCTTTTTCCACGTTTTTACCGAGACAAAGTCGAGGTCCATAAAAGCGAAAAAAAAAAGATTTATTAAATTAAAAGGATTTAGTATGTAGCAAAAAGATTTCGCCTTATTAAGAGTCAATAATGATATGCTCAAAGTCCAAATAGACGACAACCGCTTTCTATATAGCTGCAGTCAAAGCTAGATATAAGGTCGCATGGTTGCGAGTAGCAGACGTTGACTCACTGAAGATGTTTTGTCAAAATTTTCCTACTATGTTGTGTTTCAATAAAACTTTTATTTGAGACTCACTGCATCCAATTTTGAGAAAGTTACAAAAAGAAAAAAACCTTCCTCTGAATATTTATTGAGGGCTGTCACTGAGCTTCCATGGTGTGACTGTTGTCTATCTCTCAGGTTCTCATAATTAAAATGTTGAGGTGATCTGCTCTTTAATCAGACATATTGGAAGGATAACATTTTCCAAATTTAATAAAAGATTATTTTGATCATGTAGGCTTTGGTCTTTTTGGCATAATTATGAATGAAAAAGCTAAGAACCCCCTAAATTCATCATGGTAGAGAAATATTCACTACTACAAGACTACTAGGAGAGAGAGGAGATTGTCCAAACACAAAGCATGTTTGGTTTCTATGAATTTCGTTATAGTACAAGAAGGCTTGAGTAATCACAGGGGGATGATACAAATGAGGTCGTTAAGTTATTGCTTCCTATTTGCCTCCTGATCACTTTTATACAAAGCTTTAAGCGACTTTGCTAATATTGCATCCAAATGAAATCTGGGATTGGCCAACTCTGTACCAGCTCCCTCAAGGGGCATGTCGTTTCGCGTGACCTCAACCTTTGCTGTTGTTTTAGTGTGAGACGTAGAGCCAGAAATCCCTCGAAATTTCTTCTTCTTTCCCTGATAGGCCGAGGAGATCATTAATCTGTGTGGCAATGTGAAAATGACTGAGAACATCCCGAAAGGTTCAAAATTTTAACAAAAACCTTTTATTTCCAATTCGTGGGTTCGTGTAGAGGTTCGTAAGAAGTATTTGCACCTTCCACTTACCTTTGTTAAAGCCTTAAGGTAAAATAGCACACTGGCTAAGTGTGGGCCTGATTCGGCAAGACCTGCCTTGCATCCCATCCAAACAAGGAGGGCAGTTTATTGTCCCTTCCTTGGCAATAATAATCCAAATGTGAACCAAGATATCGCTCGTGCGCTGCGAGTGCCGCACTTTTGCCAACACCACGAACTTGTTTGCGATGATATGTCCTTCAGCGTTGTAAACAAAGCCCGACACCATTTGATTGTTGGCCTCGAGACTGCGGAAGGCTTTAAATTGTTTCTGCGTGTAAAAGCTTGTCTCAATAACCAAATAGCAAAGCAAATCTATGGATTCCACCTGAGGTAAGCAACCAGGCTCCAATGGTTTCCTATCTATCAAAACAGCATCGATTCCGATAGAGGAGGTCTTCTTTAGATAGCTCTCTGTGACTTTTAGAGACAATGGAATTTGGACGACATGGTTTGGATCAGTAGAAGGAATAGCAATTTTTTCGGTGCACGCCATAGATTTTTTTTAAAATCGTAAAATGAATAGAGTTGTAAATTTGGACCATGTTTGCATATAAGTAATAGCCGAAACATGTGACTCAAATCTGCACCAACATGGCGGAAATTAATTCTGTGGCATCACGTGAAAACGATCTGAACAGACATCGTGACGTACGCGGCGGCGAATAAGATCTATTTCTGCAACTTCTGTAAATGTAAGTGATATCAATCCTTAACTATACCGGGAAACATGCGATTACTTATTTACGAAGTAAAGGGAAAAATCACTTCTTATTCATATGGTCAACATGGCACACTGTTGCGCAATTTCGTAGGAAGCCATGTCCAGTTAGCGTCGATGAACTATAAAACGCACGAATCAGCTGATTGAAATTTTATCGTTGTACAACAAGTTAAGCCGTTGTTATGGTTTTTTTAAACGTTTAAAAGTTGCATTGAAAGGTTCAAACGCTACTCAGAGTCAACAGGACGCTGAAGTATCTTCATGAAAAATAATTTAAGTGTCGTTACAGCGACTGAAATCGTACACAGGTTGGCTTGAGGTACATGAGGCAGCAAATGTTGGACAATTTTGTGGTAATAGCTGACTCATTGCACCTCTTGGCTTGTCAACGACTCCTAACATTATTTGTCGTTCTCGCTCGTCTCCTGAGTCAAAATCTTAGGTTGATGTGTGCCTGTAATATTATTCATTTTGCACTTCGGAACTTTTCAGCTTCGTCACCACAGTTTTCCTAGCGCTATATTGATCATCTTTTCTGAACAAAGATCTTAGACGGTGAGCTCTTTTTCATTTTCTGAACTCGGCATAAAATTTCAACAGTGTTTTGTCAAGAGTTTCGCGGTTGCACACCTCTAGATTTTTTTCCTGCTCTCCTTGATTTGCCTACTTCACGAAAACGGTTTTCAGTATTCTGTTCATTTTCGGTGGTTTGTATCGTTTCCTCAATAAATACATCATTCACTGCTTCTAAAGGAGACACTTTCGTTTCTAAAACAACCAGAAACAATACAATTTTTTCGCTGTTGCCAAGAGACCTAAGAATCAATCAACTTCGAGTAATTATACCCGGGGTAATCATCAAAGTTAACGATAAATGCCCACTGTCCCAGTCAATCAGAATTTCGTTATTTTGCCCTCTACATTATAAGTTATGATAATCTCACAGATCATGAGCAAACCTTTTTCTTCCAAGGCCTCTCCATTCGCTTGTCCTGGGAGTGCGAGTTCGTATTGAACCTCTGACAACAAACCATCTTCAAGAAGGTGGACAACCTCTTCAGCAAGATGCACAATCTGTGTGACTGGAAGTATAAATAAAAAAGGGACGCCTTAGAGTAGAGGGTGTACAGCGATACACCTAGTCATTTCTTTAAATAATTTTAAAATATTGAGAGAGAGAATGTAGGTGATTCCCTAAGGCTTGAGTGACTGAAATTAAAATTAAGGTAGTTATAGCAGGTCAAGGAAATTAAATTTGGCCAGTAACAGGCAGTAAGAGAGATATGTGATCGAAACTCGGAACACCGCCATAAGGAGAGCATTCACTTTTCTCTCAGAAGAAGGGCCTCACCGTAAATTTCAATGAGATGGACATGGGTGAGCAATGACAAAGTTCAGATTAGGAGCATAGAACGAGTGAAGAACGTCGATAGTCAGACCTCATTTAGGGACAAGTCTGATAAAATTCGGCTGAAAAGACAATGAATTTCACAACTGTTCCAAAGTCATGTCGTTGCCACTTCTACTCGCGAAGTTTATAGGTAGCTGCACGCACGGATCACTCTGACGCATAGACCACTCGTTTTGTCAATTGACTACTTGGGGTTAGCAAGCAGTGAGGGAGGAACATAGTCGGCCCCTAAGCCCTGGATGACTATGACCTTGTCAATTGATTGTCTCAGTGGTATCAGGAGGAATGAAAGAAGCGTAGTCAGCCTCTTACGCCAAATCGCAAGCGTCCCAAGTTCACGTCTTGAGGAAAAGGAAAAGATTAATTCGTAACACCATCACATTTTGTATGACGCGGTGCTAAGTTACGCGAGGAACCGTTGAGAATTTCGACCGTTGTCATTCCGATTGGCAATTTTTCATCCAAAGTTCACGATTTAAGATCATCCCAACCTGGAAAATGCCTCTATTCCAAAACTCCTTGCGCATTACACTGAAAACGAGCGTTTTCCACTAGCGTTTCCAAGTTCGCTTCCTTCTACCTCTGCTTTTGATGTCAAGATCGGACACGGCCGCGGAAGAAGCTTGGGTCCTAGGTAAATTTTCTCTCGACCGTATATGTAATGATGTTAGACGTATATCAAGGTAAGCGACGTGGGTGGTAACTGCCTCCCCTCGGACTACGGTCGAAAATCGTAGTGTGTAGCCTTAATTCTGTCTTATAACAGGAATAACAGTGATAGCAAAGCAAGTCTAAAACGCGGGCAGAGAACACCAGAAACCACGACGGACACTCAAAGAATGAGTAAGTTTCATCAATCTTTAGTATAAAACATTCATGTTTTTGAACATTTAGCGTCGTAAATCGACCATATTTCTTTCCCCACACTATGGTCTACTATTTCTTATATCGCGTTCAAATTCCCAAAGGCTCCTCGCGTAACTTTACACCTCGTCACGCAGCGCGTGACGCGTTCACGAATTAATCTTTTACTTTTTCTCGAGACGTGAGCCTGGGACGCCTGTGGCCGAACAAGAAGGATATGAATGAGTGGGTGAGTTTTGGAAACAGTTAAAATGGAGAAGCAGGGCGAAGAAGCCAGTCATTCTGTCAATTCATACTTGAGGGGAGGGGGTGGGAGGCGCATTGGGGTCTATTAGAAACCGCAAAACCGTGCAAAAAATAATCGCAAACGCCCCAAAAAATTCGATCAAAACTTAAACCTGCATGAAATACTCGCCGC